TTCAAGAACCGTCGGACGTTTTAGAATTGGATGATTTTGTTTCTGTTTGTGTAGATTTTGGTTCTAATAAATTGTGTAATTTTACCAATTTTTTAATTTTTTTAGAATGTTTTTGTCTTTAAAACCTGCCGGCATGTTCCAGAGTTCAGAGGCTTAAAAATGTTCATTTGAATCGTTAAAAATCTCTAATTTCACAACACCAGGATGTAAAATAACTTCTAAAAATAATAAAACCTTTTCTTATTCTTAATGAACAGAATTTTTCCTTTAAACAACAACAAAAATCTGTCAAATAATTGTATTTTATTTAAAACCGAAATAATGAAATTTTACATTCAGACATTGTAAAATAACAAATTACTGCAGATTTTTAATTCTGACATTATTTACAGTTTTGCCCCCCTTTTATTTTTTTTACAGTCAACATGTAAATTTATTTATAAAAAATCTGTCATTTTTACAAGACAAAATCAAAACAATGTGTAAAACAGTTTTTAAAGAATCCTTTACTAATTTTCTTTTTCTTTTTTTTTTTTTCAAATAATGGCAAATATTTGTAAAGTAATCACATTTATTATCTGTTCACTGATAATATTTTAAATTCTTAATCGACATAATTTAGATTTGAAAGCCTCCACTGAGGACAGATCCAGTCGCAGCTCGCTTCTGATTCCAGTTTGGTGAAAGACGAGTTTGTTCCAGTTAGCAAAGAATTCAGACGCAATTTATTCTTTGTTTAACCAGGTTTTTGTCAAAATATGTTTTTAAAAAAGTTGAAAATTTTAGGATTTTTTTCCCTGTTTTTATAGTTTTTTTGTCTTTCAAACCTGCCGCCTGGTGTTCATGGTTCAGAGGGTTAAAGATGAGTTTAAATGTTCTCCCGGGGACACATCACCTTCTGATTTGTTCCCGTTTGTTTTTTCTACTCATGAGTCCGTTGACTGCGGCGCTGAACCTCAGCAGGCTTCTGGAGCAGCTGAATGGAATCCAGCCACAGCTCGTGGTTCTGTTCAGTCCCATGATTCTGTCAGAACGTCTGGTGTGAAGAGAGACCTTGTAAAGAGGAGATCCGTCTGTCAGATGTTGTTTTTGGTTTTTGGTTTCCTGCCTTTCAGAGGCAGCAGCTCTGTCGTCCCTCCTCTCGGTGAGCTCTCTCTGAATCATCTCTGGTGGTTTGATGCTCTCTGCTGGTCACAGAGCAGAAGTGGCGTCATGCTCTCGCTGCTGCTGAACGCTGATCTGGGATCAGATCGCTCGCTGCTGCTGCTCCATCTTTAATTATTGCCCCGCAGACGGAGGGCTGATTGCAGATCAGCTTCGGGCCGCCGTTTGCCGGCTTCTCCAAAACGTCCTAATCAGAAGCTGATTCGCGGCAGGAGAGCTGCTGAGTGGACTCTCCAGCCAATCAATGGCTTAATTATTCAATTAAAGCTCTGAGGAGATGCTGGAAACCTGCCAGCGGTGCAGTTGTACAAACAGAAGAATAGTGTTTCCTCGACCTGGTCAGCAGCTTGAAACAGCAGCTTCTCCACAATGAGCCAGTGAGTCTGCTGCTCTGGAGCGAAGCAGCAGCTCCATCAGCTCCATCACCTCCATCAGCTCCATCAGCTCCATCAGCTCCATCAGCTCCATCACCTCCATCAGCTCCATCAGCTCCAGCAGCACATGGTTTCTGTGTCCTAATCCGTGTTCCTTCTCCCACTCAGGGGCATCGGCAAGCAGGGCTTCCAGTGTCAAGGTACAGATCAACGACCGTCTTTCTTTCTGCAGCGTTTGATCTCGTCTCTGGATTCATGTTTTTATTTTCTCTGTTCGCTCCAGTTTGCAGCTTCGTGGTTCATAAAAGATGCCACGAGTTCGTGACCTTCACTTGTCCCGGATCCGTGACGGCGCCGAGGCCCGACGTGAGTGTGGCCGTCACTTCCTGTCCAGGTTCATTGTCACGTGACTCATCCTGACCTGCTTTAGTGCCTCCAGCTTCTGTTCTGACTGAGTCCAACCAGGTGGAACATCTGGGCTCAGAGCCGACAGCAGATTTTAATTCCTAAAGAAAATGGAGTCATGAGCTTCGTCTTCTTCTTCCCATCTGTGGATCAACGTTTGAAAGAACGTAGCCGGAGTCCTGAAGTTCTGCCTCGTCGACCTGTACATCTGGTCCTCAGTGGTTCAACCAGCTCTGACAGAACAACACAAACCAAGTTTTAAGTCCTTTTGGGTCATTTTGAATCATTTTAAATTCGTTTTAGACGCATTTTAAATCCCACTGATTCATTTTTTACACATTTCAAAACAGTTTAGATCATTTTTAAACTAATTTTAAACAAGTTTGGAGTCGATTTGGACAGATTTGAGTCCTTTTGGACGATTTTTGAATCATTTTGGGAAATTTTTTATAATTTTTTACAGTTTTAAATTCATTTCAGACATATTTTAAGACATTTGAAGTCCTATTGTACAATTTCTGATTCATTTTGGACACATTTCAGATCATTTTGAAATATGTTTAAACTAATTTTGGACAAGTTTTGAGCCGATTTGGACAGGTTTGGGTCCTTTTGGACATTTCATTGTCATTTTGGGAAATTTTTAGTCCC